GTTATTAGAGGGAAAGGGGGTTATTAGAGGGAAAGGGGGGTTATTAGAGAAGGTGGGGGAGGGGTTATATCAGACGAGAAGGGCTATACTTGATTCTTACCTTAATCTGATCATTCAAAAGGAAAAATTTGAATCTCTTCAATTCTTTAGAGTTCAATTTGAGACTCAGTAGATTATCTGAACCCACTAAAATGTTACACTTCATACATTCAATACCTGAAAAGCACAATGATGAGAAATTAACAAGCAAAACTCAGAATCATTCTGAAAGCTCCCCCCCCCCAAAAAAAAAATTTTGTATGCTAACTTGTAAAAAGCTTACCTAAAGCTACACCATGCTCAAGTTGTACCGTGACATGGTTTATCCAACAGTTATTACAAAAAGTGTGCCCACATTGCATCACAAACTCCATTGGGGCGTTAATACCTTGAAAACATACTTCACACTCATTCGCCGGCTAAAAAAGAATTGCATATTTTTTAAAACTTTATTTAAAGATGCTAACCCTGTCAGTAAAAGGCTGTTTCAATGGAGGGGATCCGGACTATATATAACAACACAGCTGCTCGTGTTGTAAGTACTATATACAACATGAGCAGCCATATTGTATCGGATATATGAATTTGAGCCAAATAGGGCGAGACTTTTTTATTTATTAGTATACGGATTTGACTTTAAAAATAAGAGGTCGGTAGGTCGGAAAAAAATCGGTAGGTCGGAGTGTATAAATGAGAACCGAAATTAATAATCTTTATAAAATTTTTTAACGTCAATTTCAAAAAAATGCAAAAAACGTGGCTAATCTACATATTGATTGTCACAACGATAACATGAGCCAGCAGTATCTAGAGTCAAAGTTCACTTGAAGTGTACTTCATGTCAGAACTCCGAATTAATTAAAATTAACAAAAATTGTAAAATTTTTGACATCCAAATTTATTTTTTTATTTTTCACTTTCTGAATATTTACGGTCGGTGGATCCGTAAAGCAATGAATAAAAAAAGTCTCGCCTAGATGGCTTGTGAAACATCTCGATGAGAACATTCGTATTCTTCAACAATTCATAATTTCTAAAAACTAACATGCTTATATAGTTACCTTCAATGAGGGAATAGATTTTTCTGGCATCAGTCTTGTCTCAGTAAGCAATGATCTCTGACAAGCATTGTACCTATTAAATAAATGAAGTTAACCCATTGAGCCGCAATGCGCCCTAGTACGTCCTAATTATTTTTTACTTGTCTAACGCCAGACAATTTTACTCGTCAATGGGGAAGCTGCTCTGCAGCTTAATGGGTTAATCTCCACTAAATACAGTAATCAGTGAACATAGCACCAGAAAAAATAGTGCCATAAAGCGAGTAGACTTACTCAGCAATAAAGATGCGGTACAGTCCGATCTGCGCATGTGCACAAAGGAGCGGCCCGCTTTTTATTTACAAACAGTTTATTTAGGTTTTTATTTCATTTTATGTTCTTGCAAAGCTTGATTGTGGTCTCTTCTTAATTTATTATACTCTAGAATCATGAAAATATAAATAGTGGTCAAATAAAATTCAATATTTTGGATACCGAAATGTAACCAAAGCCTTTGTTTACATACGGACTGTACCACATCTTTAATGTGTTGTTATTAGTACATTGTTAATGTTAATGTTATGTAAACTAAAGTGTAAAAGTCTATGTTAATTTAATTAAATTAATTAATGAGAACATCTGATGCTTCCACCCAAACCTTTGCAAGATGGTATCTGCATCCCAATGAAAAACTGTCAGCAATATTCTTGAAACAGATCTTGACTCCTATAACCAAGTAAATATTCTATAACTTTTTTATCAAAATTACTTAAATCATACTTAAAAATCTTAACCCCACCCTAATACATCCTACTTTATTATTTTATTCTGTCTAATGCCAGGTGATTTTACTCATCAAGGAGAGAGCACTGGCGCTCAATGTGTTAATCAGACTATCTACCCATGTGTCTATCCCTGACGAAAAAAGTCTATAGGTGGCCAATAGGTTCCTATAGGAAATATGTTTCAATTCCCTATAGAAGCCTTTAGGCACCTATAGAGATCTATATAGGCATCCCTATAGGTCACCTATAGAAAATGTTCCAATTGCCTATAAAAACCTATAGGTTTCCTATAGAAACCTATAGGTTGGCCTACAGGCCAGGCCTATAGACTTTTTTTGTTAGGGTGTAGTTAACCCATTAAGTCACATTGCACCTTAATGTACCCTACTCAGCCCTCGAAAACAAGGTCAGCATTCGGCAATGCCGACAAGCTAAATGCCGACCTATCAACCTCCCAAGTCAACAAATTTTTGCCGACCTTAATTCAGCCAAAGTAAGAATTTTTTGGTGCTGATTGCTGTTAAAAATTCAGCAATTATAGAATTCAATTCAAAGTTCGATTAACTAAACACACTTTGGCGTAAGGTTAAAAAATGACGGGTATTCTATATATAATTTAGGCATTTTTTTGCCGACCTCAATTTTGATGATTTTCAAGGGCTGCCTACTTTGTTCTTTTACTCTGTGTAACGCCAGACGATTTTACTTGTCAAGGACCTGGTACTCAATGGGTTAAAAGTGACATGATATAAATTTGTGCCATTTTTCCATTTGAAAGAGCAGTTAACCCGTTGAGCCAATGCTCTGCATGCCTTTGATGTTCTAGTAAAATCACCCAACAGTTAACTTTAAATTCTCCTTTACTAATTATTACTTATTAACAATTTACTTTAAGTTTTTTGGCAGTTTCGTCAACAAAACAATCCAACATGTTCTCGGCATCTTCCTGGGTGATCAAACGATAATCAAACAACTCTGGATCTCGTTCCGACTCGTCCTGGAGTACAACGTCGTCGTCAATGTCGTCATAATTATAATAATCATCCGAGTCACTCTCGTCGGTGTTCAAGGACACGTCTCCTTGATAATTACAAGAATAAAACGTCATCTACACTGGATCCGCACCGGACCACATTTCACTTCGCACGCAACGCTTTTAAGAAATACGCTACTGGCAAGCTCGCTGAATACAATGGGGGGGAAAAAGGGTTTATAACTAAATAAGAAATATCAGCTGTTAAATGACTGACAGTTTACTAAACAGCTGGCTGCCTAGCCACTTCGGCATATGTTAATACACAATAATACACACTTTTAAGGATGACTTAAATTGTACTGTTAAAAATAATCAACACTATTAAACAAACCTGGTAGTCTATCGATTATTACTGATAATTGATACAGTCAATGTCACAAAATGAAAAACCTCTGTTAATGAATTTCATTTTATATATCAAATTTTTTTCAGCGCCTTTAATATTTGATAATATTGATTGCTTTTAAATTTCAGACAAATAATCTGACAAAATGAAACAATTGCCTTAAGAAAATTATACAGAAATTGTTTGAAAAGTATAAAAGTTGAAAAATCGTATAAACTAGTTGACAAATATGACATATGTACAATTGTTACATATATAAAAGTATACGTTTATTATTTGATACCTTCCGCATTCCCCGATGACATTTGCTTCAAATTTAAACTTTAAAGACAGTAGAATTGTATCCCAAACAGTTCATTTATATTGTTTTCGTCACATATTTAGGCTTTTAAAATAATTTCTTTCCTTAGGAAAACATTTTATTTAGAAAGTTAACTCATCCATGTGCAATCCGACCGCGAGGAATAACAAATCATTGGGGCACTGGTGACTAGGAAATATTCTGAGAACTTCATGTTATACATATTTATTGTGGTTCTACCACTGAACTCTTTGGATAACTGAACAAGTCATTACTTTGAGCTATATATGTTATACTGGAGTCACATCTTCAAAACAGTGACCTCTCTCTATGTACCTGGAGTGACATCTCATTATTCACTCAATTGAGCTCTATATGTAACTGGAGTTACAATTTAAAACGGTGAGCTCTTTTTCTACCTGGAGTGATATCTCATTACACTGGCCGCAGCCAGTGTTATAATTTGCCCTCGCTGGAATGCGAGGAATTTTTTCGGTTTTTGTGGCTAGCCCGTTCGCGGGCTAGCCACTATGATACGGGATGAGCGGTGGTGGTCGGTCAACGATGTCTGTCCGGATTGTCGTGAAATTATCGTGAAATTATCGTGAGCGGAAGTGAGGCCGACAGTATGGCGATCGTTTGTTTCGTGGTTTCGGTTATCATCGGAAATTTGGCGGAAGTGATGAGGCCCGACAGTTTGACGATCGGTTATTTCGGTTTTCATCGGAAATTTTTGAACTTCATGCCTGATAAACACAGTGAACTCTATATATATATATATATCTGGAACGATAACAGCGAGCGAAAAGTGAAGCCGACAAAAAAAATCACGACATAAGTATTCGTCATCGTCTTCGTCATCAACTGTTCAAGAACTTTCTTACAGTATTAAAAATCACTTACATGTAAAATTTGTAATTGTTTTGAAAGTTTTTATCACAGTTTTTATATCTTTATTCACTTTTAACCTGAAGGTGGAGTTATACTCCGAAACGTAGTTATTAAAATAATTTTTTACTAAGCCCATATGGTCTAATTTATATTCAAACACACGTACATGTTCATTTACATTTTGCTGGCAGGCAAATTCCGATCACACAATAAATTCTTTAAAAAATAACGTACTAGTGTATTGACTAAAAACTATAAAACTGGCAAACTAAAAAACAATTCAAACAATCGCTAAAAATGGCAACGGCAAAGTCACAGTTGCAAGTCAATTTACCTACCTGTGAAATGAAATTTAGTTCTCGCAAGAATATCTCTTTCCTTGTGCATCCAGAACGACAGTACGACACAATATATTCGAAAAAGTGATTCTTTTCTCCACACAGGGAAGTTTTCCTGGACTTTTTTCCGACCGCGAACTCAATGCAGTAAATTTTAGGAGCAAAACAGTTTGCTCCTGCAATGTATTGCATTGAGTTGGCCATCATGTTTTTAATTTTTTTTCGTGATTGCGTTCAAATTTATACTGGCCGTGCAACGGTTTGCAAGAGGGGGAGTGAAACTGACGTCCAATCCGCGTAAACCTGACGTTTGAGGGACTGAGATTGACGTCCAATCCGCGTGAAAGACTGGTATCGAGGCTTCATTGTTTTCACAATCAAATGACTGAATGTTATCGTTCCAGATATATATACATATAGAGTTCACTGGATAAACATTTCATGCAAACAAATATTTTCGTTTTGAGGTCTTTTCGACAGCTGCTGTTTAAAAAAATACGAAAATTTTGCGAACGATAAGAGAAGTTCTACAAAAGGTAAGTTAGGAGAAATCAAGGAGATTTTGATCACGCTTGATATAAAGCTTTATATAGTGAGTTTATAATCCTGTTTATAATCAAACGTTCTTGCACAGATCTTGAATTTTTATCCATTATGTGGGTAAATTTATAAGAAGCAAGCCCATTGTTTACATATTTTACAACGATACTAAAACCGCCCTATCCACTTGCAGGTATAAAACTACAATTAACACAGAAAACAGGCGGGACTATTTTATGAATTTATGCTAATATAGTCTATTGTAGTCACTGCCTGGAAGCTCAGTCTGTTTACATACAGTTGAAGGATCTTCTAGATGGAAGTAATTGAGTGAAAATGTATTATTTTACATTCATTAGACCTATTAAACCAGGAAATGCAACTGTAGGTGCAGTTTATTTTTGGATATCTAGTCCAGATGTAAATAACATATATCTGATCTAGGATCAGCAGGGACGTAGAGACACGGGCGTGTGTGTGTGTGTGTGTGTGTGTGTGTGTGGGGGGGGGGTTGTAAACCCCACAACTGTGAAACTCAGGTAAAACTCATGTACATTGTAAATTTTGACATTTTCAGGTAAACTTTGTGTAACAAAGTCGTTATTTTTGTAAAATGATGACCATTTGACATCCGGCACCCCACCCCAAACTTCAGATGCTTTGCTACGTCTCTGAACATTAGTGCAATCACCATACAACACTGACCCTTGCAGTTACGAGGGTATATATGAAGAAGAAAACCCACAGCCATGTGATGAGGTCATATCGACACGTTTCAACATTTCTTTTCAGCACTTAATAACAGCAGTGTCAATTGAGTAGCATATTCATACTCTTATTGCCACAGTTAAATGTTGTTTAACCCAATGAGCTGCAATGTGCCCCAGTGCACCCTACTTATTTCTTTTACTTGTCTAACGCCAGACGATTTTACCCGTCAATGGGGAAGCTCTGCTGCTTAATGGGTTAAATTTATACCTGCATCATTTACAATGTGTCAGTCTTGTGAGCTGCCAGTAAATATTTGGTTCTTAATTTTAAACAATTTGCAGATGAAAGCACAATTCAAAATCATAGTGATGCATGGCATCTACAGTACTTCAAACAACTAAGTGAACACATATTCTGATCAATTTGCTGATAATATGGTGACTGGTGATAATATTGGATAATATAGGAAGATCAGGATATTTGCACAAGTGTCAGGGCAATACAAGTTAGTGGTGTCGGTGATGACATAATTGATTTGATGAGTTCATTATAAATTCCGATGCTGTTAGATCTTACAATAAATAAAAATGTTTAAAAATATAATATAATATATTATTAAATACATTATGTTAAATGAAGAACTTTGAATTTAAAGGTTTTATGAAATCTGCAATGCCAGCAATTCAAGAAAAGCTAATAACTTGTAAACCAGACAACAGAATATATCTGTAACAAGAAACCGGTGTAATGAAATCTTAGTGAATTACATATTAGTGCAATTTTGAAAAACAAAATAAAATTGACATTAGTTGCTGTATGTATTATATCATTATTAAAGCAAAACTATGTTGCTTTTAAATCAAGTGATTCTAACCATTTGTTGGCATTGTAAGAAAGATACTGCATCTGTTTTATTTTGACCATTGTTCTATTGTAATGATTAATTTTGTATCAAAATGAATGTTTGTGATGAATGTTCATGACAATGTGAAGTCCGGCTGTATTCGACCAGGCTGAGTAGGCTAGCCACATGTACGCAGTGCGTACCTATTTTTTGACATTGTATCACTATCAAATGATCAGTTTATAAAACCATGTTATATGTGATTTTCCTCGTGTGCAAATGCAAATGTACTGGACCAGGTTGCTGTAAAAGATTACTTTTGAGAAGAAGGCATTGGCCAAGCTGTATACAAAACATCCCAAGCTTGTTATCACGAAGTTCAAAGGAGTGCAAACTGATTGGCTGCGGTTCTGGAATCAGTTCCAGACTGGCATCGATGGAACCAACATTGCCCAAAGCGAAATTGTTAATGCATATATCAGCAACATTATGGCACTTGATCCAGTTCAATGAAAAATTACTACCAATTGTACAAGCATTGGAGACTTTGGGTCGAATCGGAGAAGTAAATGGGTATGTACGTGGAGATTTGGTGCGTACGGATGATGACTGGCTGAACTGGAAGTTTCCCGAACTCATTGAATCCTTAATGAAATTGACGGTGCGGAATCCACTTAAAAGAGATCAGGAACTGGATAGATCAAATCAGAGATGGACAAATAGATAAAAAAAACTTCCAAACAAGACAGCAAGAGCACAGGTCAAGATCATGTGTTTATTGTGATGACCCTAGCCAAAGATCCTGGGAGAAAAACAGCGGTGTTTTAACTGTACGGGCGTTCAACACAAGGAGGCAGATTGTCGGAGTCAAACGGTATGTGTACGATGCAAGAAGAAACATCACACATCGATATGTGAGGCACAACCATTGCAACAAATGTTGGTCGCACAGGGTGAAGGCAAAGTGATTTATCTGGTGGTGGTGGTGGTGGTGGTGGTGGTGGTGGTGGTGAAAGAGCGCTGTTGGACACACGAGCTGGGATCTTCTATGCATCTGCTGCCCTGTTGGAACGATTTAACAGCAAACCAGAGCGACGAGAGTTCAGGAAAATCGAGATGATGATGCAAACATGTAACAAAACAATTGATATGTTTGCGATGTTACTCTGAGTGCATATCCACACCGGGCGAGCTTGAAAAATATGCCCGGCCACGGTGGGATTCGAACCTACGACCTTTGGAATACTAGCCCAATGCTCTTCCAACTGAGCTACGCGGTCAGGACGGTTCGAGTAAGTGATATTTCGGAACAGTATCTAGTTCCTTCTATACCAATGTGTTCTTACTAATATGAATTTTTCTGTGTTGGTGTTGTGTACTCAGGTGAATAATATGTTTGCCATGTTACTCTGAGTGCATATCCACACCGGGCGAGCTTGAAAATATGCCCGGCCACGGTGGGATTCGAACCTACGACCTTTGGAATACTAGCCCAATGCTCTTCCAACTGTCCTGACCGCGTAGCTCAGTTGGAAGAGCATTGGGCTAGTATTCCAAAGGTCGTAGGTTCGAATCCCACCGTGGCCGGGCATATTTTTCAAGCTCGCCCGGTGTGGATATGCACTCAGAGTAACATCGCAAACATATTATTCACCTGAGTACACAACACCAACACAGAAAAAAAAATCATATTACAAGAACACATTGGTATTGAAGGAACTAGATACTGTTCCGAAATATCACTTACTCGAACCGTCCTGACCGCGTAGCTCAGTTGGAAGAGCATTGGGATAGTATTCCAAAGGTCGTAGGTTCGAATCCCACCGTGGCCGGGCATATTTTTCAAGCTCGCCCGGTGTGGATATACACTCAGAGTAACACCACAAATATCATATTCACCTGAGTACACTACACCAACACAGAAAAAATTCATATTACTAGAAAACATTGGTATTGAAGGAACTAGATTCTGTTCCGAAATATCACTTACTCGAACCGTCCTGACCGCGTAGCTCAGTTGGAAGAGCATTGGGCTAGCATTCCAAAGGTCGTAGGTTCGAATCCCACCGTGGCCGGGCATATTTTTCAAGCTCGCCCGGTGTGGATATGCACTCAGAGTAACATCACAAACATATTATCCACCTGAGTACACAACACCAGCACAGAAAAATTCATATTACAAGAACACATTGGTACTGAAGGAACTAGATACTGTTCCGAAATATCACTTACTCGAACCGTCCTGACCGCGCAGCTCAGTTGGAAGAGCATTGGGCTAGTATTCCAAAGGTCGTAGGTTCGAATCCCACCGTGGCCGGGCATATTTTTCAAGCTCGCCTGGTGTGGATATGCACTCAGAGTAACATCACAAACATATTATTCACCTGAGTACACAACACCAGCACAGAAAAAATTCATATTACAAGAACACATTGGTATTGAAGGAACTAGATACTGTTCCGAGATATCACTTACTCGAACCGTCCTGACCGCGTAGCTCAGTTGGAAGAGCATTGGGCTAGTATTCCAAAGGTCGTAGGTTCGAATCCCACCGTGGCCGGGCATATTTTTCAAGCTCGCCCGGTGTGGATATGCACTCAGAGTAACATCGCAAACATATTATTCACTTGAGTACACAACACCAACACAGAAAAAAATTCATATTACAAGAACACATTGGTATTGAAGGAACTAGATACTGTTCCGAAATATCACTTACTCGAACCGTCCTGACCGCGTAGCTCAGTTGGAAGAGCATTGGGATAGTATTCCAAAGGTCGTAGGTTCGAATCCCACCGTGGCCGCGCATATTTTTCAAGCTCGCCCGGTGTGGATATGCACTCAGAGTAACATCACAGGGAGCCCCACTATGAGTTATGATTGAAATAATATTGTATTTATTTTTAAAAACCTACTTGAATCCCTTGATAATCGATTATTTCTTCTCTCGAAATTCTGTAAACATTTTAAACTGCTTGAATCCATTATACTATCACTCTACATGAAGTATAGATGATCGCTGACAAGTAAGAACGCGGGCGCGAAAATACGAAGGCGGCAAAAGAAGGAAGAAGTTTAATTCTTCCTTCTTTTGCCGCCTTCGTATTTTCGCGCCCGCGTTCTTACTTGTCAGCGATCATCTATACTTCATGTAGAGTGATAGTATAATGGATTCAAGCAGTTTAAAATGTTTACAGAATTTCGAGAGAAGAAATAATCGATTATCAAGGGATTCAAGTAGGTTTTTAAAAATAAATACAATATTATTTCAATCATAACTCATAGTGGGGCCCCCTGTGGTAACATCGCAAACATATTATTCACCTAAGTACACAACACCAACACAGAAAAAAATTCAAAACAATTGATGTACACAAGTTAGAAGTCACTGATGTGAAGGATTCATTTGTCCTTAACACGGAAATTACCAGAGTAGAACGAAGTAATCTGTTAAGTTTGCCAAATCCTAAGTACAATGAAACAATCAAACGGTTTGAACACCTCAAAGGAGTAACATTGGACGATTAGATGAGAAGGAAGAACTTCCGATTCATTTAATCTTAGGAGCAAGCGATTATGCGAAAACGCCTTCCCAACCACGTGTAGGTCAAACCAGAGAGCCAGTGGAGGAGTTTGCGAAGTTCGGGTGGACCATAATGTCCCCAGGAACAGATGATGATTTTACCAAGATGTTATTTACGAAGACCTCGATGCACGTCTACCAGAAGCTATGTGATCTTGATGTCTTTGGCGTTCAAGAGTCTCCAAGCTAAGAGCAATCAATTTACGAGGACTTTAAAGAGCAATTGAGACAGAGTAAAGAGGGCTGGTATGAAACTGGTCTTCTCTGGAAGCCTGGGATGGAGGATTTACCAAGCAATGAGCCGGAAAGCCGAGCGAGGCTGGCCAAACTAGTACAGAGACTGGAGAAGAAGCCATATCTTATGAAACAGTACCAGGAAATAATTAAGGACCAGGAGAAAGGCACCCCAAGAGTCGAATCAACGAAAATTCTATATTCCTCACAAACCTGTGGTGAAGGAGTCAGCCGAGACAACGAAAGTGCGCATAGTTTATGACGCGTCTGTGCGGAGTCTGATGATTCACCTTCCTGTAACGATTGTTTAGAGACAGGCCCGGTCCTGCAAAATCTACTGTGGGATATTCTCGTGCGGAATCGTTTTAAACCAGTTGCTTTATCAGGAGGCTTGAAGCAAGCCTTCCTTCAAGTAAGAATCAAAGAGGAAGATAGGGATGTACTGCGTTTCCACTGGATCTATCGATTTACCAGAGCACTTTTCGGGTTGAATCAGTCCCCATTTCTTCTCGAAGGAATGCTAGATCAGCACCTAACGAGCGTAGCAGAAGAATTCCCTGACGAAGTCGTCGAGATTAAGGACAGTTTATACGTAGACGATATCCTAGGTGGTGGCAGTACGGTGACTGAAGTTGAATCGCTAAAGGAATCTGCCGTTGAAATCTTTGACAGAGCGCATTTCCTGTTGCACAAATAGCACTCGAGCGAGCCAAGTTTAGAAGCACCTGGAGGACATGATCCCGAGACGGAACCAAGCTTTGCCAAACAGCAACTGGGAGTAAAAAACGATGAAACAAATGTTGACCTAGCCTCCTCCGCAGGCACCGCCTTTAGATTATCGGGCAAAATTTGCTTGCAGGCAAAAAAATCAGGGCTGCTGGTTACGATGTTTATAGGGTTAGGGACTAGTTTAATTCGTGATTGCGTGACGTAAGAAGATAACCCCAATGTGACAACGTAAAGGCAGCCGAGAAGCCCTGGGAACAAGGATATATTACTGGAGGACCAATGTGTCGCCAGAAACACAATAATAATAATATTTAATATTTCTATTGCGCGATTTTACATATGTATTTGATTAAGTGTGCATTACAATATAGAGGTGATTTACAAGATAGAATATTAATAAAATATTATATTTTATTAATTAATTAATCAATAAAATAAAATTATAATTAACAATATTAATAATAAGCTTTCTTAAAATGATGCGTCTTAATTAGCACTTTAAATTTAACAAGACGCCTGCTCAGGCGTTCACACTGACCTGAAAATGACGACATACGAGCTACAGTGCAATAGACAAGAATACAAGTCGTGAACCGCAGACGCAAAGTGTGAAAGGCTAAAAGCGTGCCGTGATCCTCAGGAGATGTTTTCGTAATGCCCAATAAACACACAAGTATTACTCACAAATACAAACGTTATCCACGAATGCACATGGTTTAGCTCTGAGCATGCGATGCGCTAACACAGAACATTGTTTACATTCCGTGAGTCCGTATATTAAACGTATAAAATTCGAAAAACTCAGCGATCCAGATATTGCATTTCCAGAGGCGTTGCACGAAAAAACCCCAACCAGTCAACTTCCGAGGAAGTGCAGTTTGAAAGTAAAATATCTTAAGTCGAATTTTAGACCCCTACGATTTAAACAGCGCGTTGTTTTGATGTACGTTCTATGCGACGCGCTAAAAATATAAATATTCTGTAAATACCGAAATAAAAGATGAAAATCTGAAGTAAGACACAAGCTTGAAAATAACACTATAAATAGTGTTTTGGATTCTGATTCATTAATACATTACGAAAAAGATATGTCCAAAGGGGCCGAAGTTATGTTCGACGAAATGTAGGGCTAGTTTACATTGTTCATGTAATATTTGAACAACGAGAGCGAGTGTTTCACCGGGATATCCAAACACGAGAAAACAATGTATGAGAACACGAGC